ACTCAAATTTTAGATGGAAACAGAAAAAAACCCAGGATGGTCAAAACAATCCTGAAATTCAGAGGAAGAGCTAGAGGCATCGCCATCCCTGATTTCAAATTATACTACAGAGTTACAGTAATAAAAACAGCAAGGTACTGGTATAAAAACAGCCACAATGATCAATGGAATAGAATTTAGGACTCAAATTTAAGCCCACTCACTTACAATCACCTGATTTTTGACAAAGGGGCCTAAAACACACAGTGAAGAAAATACAGCATGTTCCACAAAGGGTGCTGATCAAACTGGATGACACCATGTAGAAGAATGAAACTAGATAACTATCTCTCACCCTGCACAAACCTCAACTCCAAATGGATCAAGGACCTCAACATAAGGCCTGATACCTTTATCTGATAAAGGAGAAAGTAGGGAATACACTGGACCTTACAGACAGGGGATAGGACTTTCTGAACAGGATCCTGATAGTGAAGGCATTAAGACCTATAATTGATAAATGGGATCTCATGAAACTTAAAGCTTCTGTACATCAATGGACACCATTCTTCAAGTAAAGAGGTAACCTACAGAATTGGAGGGGGGGGAGCTTTACCAGCTATACCTCAGAAGATTTATATCTAGAATTTAAAAAAAACTAAACATCCCCCCCAAAAATTAAAAATTGCAGTAAAAAACTAAACAGAGTTCTCAAATGATAAAACACAAATGGCTGAGAAATTGTTTTTTAAATGTTAGATATACTTAGCTATAAGAAAAATGAAAGTTAAAACTACTTTGGAACTTTATCTTAGCCTACTAAGAATGGCTAAGATCCAAAAGCTAAACAATGACGAATGCTCGTGAAGATGTGGGGAAAGAGCAACACTTATTCACTGCTAACTGAAGTACAAACTAGTGCAGCCATTATGGAAATCAGTGTAGAGTTCCTCAAAAAGCTAAAAATAGATCTCCCACATGATCCAGCCATACCACCCATTCTTGTGCATATATCCAAAGGACTCTGTATCTTTCTACAGATATACCTATTCATCCATGTCCATTGCTGCCCTATTCACAATAGCCAGGAAATGGAAACAACCTGATGAATGGATAATGAAAGTATGGTATTTTTACACAATAGAATATTATTCAGCCATTACAGAAATTGTGAAATTCGTAGTCAAATGTATGTAAATGGAAATAATTGTTCTAAGAGGGGTAAGCTCAGACCAAGAAGGACAAGCACATGTTCTCTGTCATAAGCGAATGCTAGCTTTCAATCTTTAGATAGGTGTTTCAACTGGAAAATCCTTAGAGATCAGGAAACTAATAAGGGGCCATGAAAGGTGGTTCATGGGAGAGGAAATGGAATGCATAAAGGGGAAAATGCAAATGGGAAAGGGGAATAATAGATGGAATGGTTTAGTGGATTAGAGAATGGAAGGATAGGGCAGAAGAGAAAGTAAGAAGAGGGATAATTGGTGTGGTGGTGCCCACCTGTATCCCCAACCCTCGGAAGATAGAGGCAAGTGGATCTCTGTGAGACTGAGGCCAGCCTGATCCATATAGTAACTTCCAAGCAGGTAGGGACCAGGGAGACTTTGTCCAAAGTGGGGAGGGGGGTAATTAATACTAAATGTCTTTTGAAAGAGTCATATGAAAACCTACTATAGAAGCTCCTTTTAATATATATAAATATATAGTTACCCTATAGCAGGAGTTCAAGACACCACAGGGTACCAAATGAAAAGCCCCATGCCAGGAATGGACTCCCTCTTTTTGAGTTGTTGACCAGAGGGATTGCATAGATCCTCAAATAATACCAGCTATTGCCATTGCACTTGGTTGTCCACCATTACTTGATGGTAAGACCCTAAGACCCTAGTGCTAAAGTCACAAAACAAACAAGGAGAAATCAAGCTAGTTCTGATCTTGAAGCTGCATCTCTGCTGGCTAGCTTTCCTAAGACTAGAAGATGCTATGCAAGTTATTAGCAGAGAAAGGTAATCATCAACCTTGCCCAGCTGTGAACCCTGTGAGCTACAGTAACAAAGGGCTTGGCAAAATATGCCCACTGGTGCAATAGTGGTACAAACATTATGGAAGTAACCAACAACCTTCTAATTCAGTTTAAGGCCTGCGTCACAATAAGAAGTCCATACTTGACACTGTTATCAGGGTCAAGAACTTGTGGCTAGACAGGTGACAGGCCATAGTAGAGAATCTTTCACTATCACTCTACTGAATAGACATAGTATTAACCAACTCATAACGACTTATTGTTATCCCCACAGATTAGTGCATCTCTCAATTCTCACCAGAGAAAATTCTTCTTGCAGCAGATGGTGATTAACACTTAAAACTAAATGCAGAGAATAAGTAATTGTGGAGTACTCAACCTTAAATGAAATAGGCTACCCATATCATACCCTCTCCTCCCAAGGCTCAGGGATAGTTATAGAAGAGTAAGTAGAAAGATTGTAAGTGTCAGAGGCAATAAATGAATACAAGAAAACTGCTATCTGGACACCACAGGATAGTTGTTCTTATGAACCCACTATACTCATGGCAGCATGTAGAAGGCCTATGCAAACCCAAGAAAGACAGGGGCCCAATATGGATGGGGGAACTTAGCAAGAAGTCTCAGCCTTAGTTGAGGATATATTGGCAATTGACACATCCTGGGAGAGGGAGAGTCAGTTTTTCATACAGGTATTATGCCTTGTAGGTTGATCAGACTCCAAGAGACACACCATACCCAACAGAACTCAGGAAAAACAGATTAGACATGATAGGTCTTACAAAAAAGGACAAAGAGTAATAGAGGACATAAAGGAGGGGTAATAAGGTGGGAGTGAAGGAGAAAGGGGTCTGAACATGATAAAAACTACAGTGTATGAAATTCTCCGACCAATAACCATACATTTTTGATATTTTATTTATTATTTTTATTTTCGGTGTATTAGTGTATTGCCTGCATGTATGTGACTGCACCGTGTCATGCAATGTCATGGAGGTCAGAAGAGGGCTTTGGATTCCCCTGGAACTGGAGTTAAGGATGGTTCATAGCTGCCATGTGGGTGCTGGGAATAGAACTCAGGTCCTCCACAAGAGCAGTTAGTGCTCTTAACCGCTGAGCCATCTCTCCAGCCCCAATAACCATATATATTTTTTAATTTTATTTATTATTTTTATTTATGTGTATGTGTGTATTGCCTGCATGTAGGTAAGTGCACCTGTGTTGTGCAATGCCCGCGGGGGTCAGAAGAGGCTGATGGATCCCCTGGGACTGGAGTTACGGACAGTTGTTAGCTGCCACGTGGGTGCTGGGATTCAAACCCAGGTCTTCTGTAAGAACAACCATTGTTCTTAACTGCTGAGCCATGTCTCCAGCCCCCTAATAACCATATTTTTAAAAAGCAAAATAAGGAAACCATAAAGGCAAAAAAAAACAAAATAGTGCTCAACTGCATTAACCTTGAAGATGTGGACAGACAATAATACAATACAATAAAAAAATTTTTTTAAATATGCTTGCAGATCAGGTGAAGTGGCGCACACCATTAATCCAAGCACTTAGGAGGCAGAGGCTGGTGGATCTCAAGGCCTACTTGGTCTACAAAGGGAGTTCTAGACAGCTGGGGCTACATGGAGACCCTATCTCAAAAAGAAAAAAAAAAAAAAAAAAAAAAAAAAAACCCAAAAAATGCTTGCAGCAAGTACAACAAATGGTTACTATCCTTTATACCTTAAGTACATGAGATCAAACAAAATCTCTTTCTATCAATAAGTGAGCAAAGAATACAGACTGTGAATCTTACCCTAAAATGAAAATCGAAACATCTAAAAGTCATTCTTCTTGATGACTGAGATGCTTATGATCAGAGAGTCCTTACGATTAACCTAACCACAGAGCAGTGCTTTGGCTGCTCCATCTCATTCGAGGTGAAAGTAACACAGGCAGTCGTGGACAGAATGGGAACATAAGCAGAACACCGCTTTAAAAAAATATCATTATATCTTTTAAAAAGCAATGACTGAGGAACTAAGGAAATGACGTAAAACACAGATAAAGATTTAATACAACACTATTAATTGTAGGCAAACAAACAAACAACACCAACAATAACAAAAAAGAAAAACCTGGAAATGGCCTTCCAGATAGCGATAAATACACTGTAATGCAACTGTTAATGAAGATACCATGTAGTCACTAAGAATGATGTTTTCAGAATGGTTTCAATAAGGTGACAAATGTTATGTCTGTAATGGAAGAAAGTAAACTCAATGAAGGTATAATTTCAAAACTAAGTTTTTAAAAAGCATAGAAAGAAGAAATATTACTTGTGAAGAGTAATGATCACAGATTCCTTTTCTATATTTTTTCCTTTTCTATATTCCTTTTTCTGTATTTTCTAAGCCTAGTTTTTAAATGTTGATGTTTTATTATTTTTGTATTTAGAGAATAAATCTTTAAATATTTTTATTATTTTTATTTTATGTGTATGTGTGTTATGCCTGCACGTAGGTAAGTGCACCCATGCTGTATAACGCCCGCAGAGGACAGAAGAGGCTGTGGGATCCCCTGGAACTGGAGTTATGGACAGTTATTAGCTGCCATGTGGGTGCTGGGATTCGAACCCGGGTCTTCTGCAAGAACAGTCAGTGTACTTAACTGCTGAGCCATCTCTCCAGCCCCTTAGAGAATAAATCTTATCCATCTCATCAATCCCCAATAAAAGTATGCCTTAGCCTTATATTTATGTAAAAAGCACAGTGATTAGATCCTTCTTTAAAATTAGTTGTCTCTACTCAACTTTATTTAAATTTAACAAGTAGTTTATACACTGCTGTTGAATGAAAAGAACTCTCTATAGCATCTTAAAGGCAACAGTAGTAAGTACTCAACTTGATTAACAGAACTGAAGCAAATACAAAAGCTTAAAATTTCATTAACCGAAGGGGACTTAGCCACTTTTGACACACGTGCACTGCAGTGTCCAAAGCCATGCCCGTACCTGAGGTGGTTGAGGAGAGGCTGAAGTCGTTCATCAGACTGCACAGTAGGCAAGGACCTGGCCGTTAGCTGAAAGCAGAGAAGAAAGTCAGCAAACAGCAAAGGCTAAACAATAAACAAATATGAATGATACATGAATACCAGGGGTGGGGGGAGGGCAGTCCAGAGAGGCGGTAGTTAAACTGCAAGGAAATGTTTCTGATTTTAAATCAAGGAATACTTCTGTGATTAAAGTAACACTCGGGAGGCTGAGACAGAAGAGTTCAAGGCCAGCCTTGGCTATACCAGGAGACCCTGTCTCAGAAAACAAAACAAATAAACAAAAAGCTAACCACATAATTTTAAGGAATATAGGTTAAGTCACTGGGTTTAGAATTAAGAGGCAGCAAAGAGGCCACACTCATCTGAGTTCAAAAGCCTGTGCTCATAAGCACACTGCCTTTATAAATAAGTATGGAAAAAGCGCTAAGTATAATGACAAATTGAGGAAAGGGACTTTTACTTATGGCTGAGCCATCATGAAACTGGAATACACACACACTCCACCATGACTTCCTTCCTGTAACAACCACATTTTAAGGAATCAAGGACATCTTTTAAGATTCAAAACTAACTTTAAAGATTTAGCATTGAAATATGACCCCAAACTGATCTAGGAAATAAAAATTGAAAGTCAAACCCTTACAGTTAAACACCACACACAAGCTGATAGTGGACCAAGGAAATATAGGCTTCTGACATTTTTTATTGCAATATTATTTTTATAATCTCTATTATCCTGTCTGTTCTTAAAAGAATAGGCTCTTATAAGAATTTCTCCTAGAAACTGAAGACATTCATCCAAAGTAATCAGATAATGTGAAATAAGCTCAAAACAAGACCGATCTCTTTTGAGTACAATTATAATCAAAATTATCCTTGTGGTTTACTATATCATCTGATAATTCATAAAAGGGAACCTTAAGAGCAGTAATGAACTGAAGGGCACCCTCTGGTATAGATGGCATCCTTGCTCTACTTTTTTCATATAAGATTTCCTGAAAATAGAGAATGAATTTATCAAAGCTACTTTTTTATCATATAAATAAAAACACAACTACAATTCTTAAACTTCTAATATATATTTTAGGGCTGGTGCTGTAACTCAGGGGAGAAGCATCTGCTGAATATTATATTTGTTTAGAAACTGACCAAAATGTCATAAGGTCATTTTATTAAATCTGTCTATTAATAGTGAATGGCAAACATTCTGAGTTTCATACAAGTCAACACATCAGCAGTTATTAATTTAAATACCTGTGGCAATATGCTGCAATTTTAGCAATCAACAAATTTTCAGTATCCATGAGAAATGTTAAGTCTAGTATTTCATGCTTATAAAAGTTACCAGTTATGAAGTTTTATACTTTATGAATTTTACTACTTTAAGATATCCTACAACGCAATTCTTAATGTCAAGTCTCCCTATAAAATATCACTTTCATTGTTTAAGAAATTTCACAACTCAGATCCTAAGCTATTCTCTAAAAAAATGTCTGAATGACCTATCTAGATATTTTAAATGTCAATTATCTGAAAACAGAGCAGACGGGGCAGGACTTTGCAGTCATTTATGACAATTTCCACTGCATGCTTCCTAATTAAGAAATCTTTTCTAAATGAAAACAAAAAAATATCTCAGCAACACCCAAATGTTTCCTAGACAGCTGTTCACTCTATATGGGAAAGTTTCTCAAATATTCCTTCATCTTCACATCATCCTCCACTTCCTTTTCCTACCCAGCTAATCCACTCCACTCAGCTTATGTCTGCCTCCTTTCCCACTTCTTCCCCAATTTATTCTCCACTAAAGGTCAGAGAGAAGGCTTCAAATACAAAGTTACTTTCTCCCCCAGTTAAAATCAGCTAACTACCCCTTCTGCTTTCACATTAAAGAAAGTTACTACAATGGTCTTTCATCCAACATTTCCTCAAAATTTTCATTTTGGGTCACGCTACTAAAAACTAAAACTGAGTGACTGACTCCAGCTCCTGCCAACTCCATGAAACACAACTGGAGGTGATCAGGCAGAAATAGGTGCAGTTTCCAGAACACACAGACTCAATGATTTTGAACCCTGTGCTGGATAGCTTTAGTGTCAACTTGACACACCTGGGTTGAGGGGGCCTCAATTGGGGAATTGCCTCTATTGGACTGGCCTATGGCCATGTCTGAGGGGCATCTTCTTGATGAGTGATGTAGGAGGGCCCAGCCCACCGTGGGTGGTACCACCCCGGGCAGGTGGGCCTGTGTTGCTAAGGAAAGCAGGCTGAGCAGAGGCCAGGGGAGCAAGCCAGTAAGCAGGGTTCCTCCATGGCCTGTGTTCCAGCTCCTGCCTCCAGGTTCCTGCCCTGAGTTCCTACCCTGGGCTCCCGGATGAACTGTGACCCGGGATATGTAAGCTAAATAAACCCTTTCCTCCCCAAGTTGATATTTGTCACAGCAATGGAGAAACAAACTAAGACAAACCCCCTGCAACCGACTTCAGTTTCAAGTTTGAATATCAACCAAGATTGATTCTTAAATTGGGAGACAACAATCTGAGTAAAATGTTTTCCAAAGGTTCTGCTTTTCAACTTATTTTTCTATTTTTATTTATTATTCTTATTTCATGTGTATGAGTGTATTGCCTGCATGTTTGTAAGTGCACCCATGTGTTGTGCGATGGCCTCAGAGGTCAGAAGAGGGCATCAGATTCCCTAGAAGTTATGGATGGTTGCTAACCACAATGTGGGTGCTAGGATTTGAACACAGGGAGGTGGAGGCTTCCAGGCCACTGGAGGCTTGCTCATGTGAGCCTGTGGCAGCAGTGGCATCCAATGAGGTCATGTTGGTACAATTAAACAAGGGCCCAAAGGGGAGGTAAGAAATAGGTGGCCAGCCAGCACCGGATTGAGAACTATTTGAGACTGACTGCTGCTGGGTGAGGGAGAGTATGACTTATATAAGACCACTGGATGGGCTGACTAGATACCAGTGGACTCATTTACACTAAAGGACATTTGGGTACAAACACCTGAATGAATATGACTCAGCATGTATGGCAGAATGCATAGGGTTCAGTGTGGGAATGGGGGGAGGCATGGATTGGGGAAGGGGTCTGGATTTGAGGGGGAAATGTATGAAATTTAAAGAGCTCAATTAAAAAAAAAATCTGAGCTGAAGAGATGGCTCAGCTGTTAAGAATGCTTGTTGCTCTTCTGGAGGACCCAAGTTCAAGTCTCAGCCCCCATGTAGGGTGACTCACAACTGCCTGTAACTCCAACTCCAGGGGATCCAATGCCTTCTTCTGGCCTCCACAGGCACCTGCATTCATGCGTGCAAGCCCACAGGCAGACATACACATATACGCATAATTAAAAATAAAATAAATCTTAAATAAAACCTGGTAAGACTGAGACTACTTCAAAACTACAGTGAGTAGGCTAGTGCAAATGTGGCAAGCACTACTGAATCAGACTCATGTCTTGTCAAAGGTAAAGCAAACATGAGGGGCACAGTGGTATCTCAGCATCACACCAACTCACCTCCCCAACCCCCAAAAGAGAGAACATCCACAGAATATTTCCTTTTTATACTTTCCACTTAAGTGAAATCAATTCAATACAGTTAAAAATAAAACTTGGTCAATATGGAAAGAATAGCTTTCAGAACTATGCTGTCCATTCAATAGTAGGCTTTAAAATTTTTTGTATAGAAAGTTTTGGGTCTTGGGGGATTGTTTGTTTGTTTCTTTGTTTTTATTAACCTATCTGGGAAAAGTGAAGGAAAAGGGACAAGTAATTGGAGAAGCTTGAATTTTCTAAATGGCATTCTCTCCTTTTCCTTAAATTCAAGCAAATTAAATTCTGAAGCAGTATAACAGCATAACTGGGTGACTCCTGGAGGTAAGCACATGGCTGTTTGTCAAACTATTTTGTACACATGTGTGTTTGAAATAGTTCAAGATAAGAAGGGAAGAAGGACAGATTGCTTCTCCAGCAGTAACAGGCATCAAGGAGGGCAAGCTTTAACAGCAGCAAGGAGAACCATCAAGAAGGTGGTACATGCAGCTTCAAGACGAAGAACCAAATTATGGCAGAGACAGACATGAACATGATAAACAGGCAGCAGGTACACGCCACAGAAGTTTGTGACTAAAAGAGAAGTAGAAGATAATGCAGGATGTTCAGGAGAGAAGGCCAATACCTGCATCAACAGCAAAATCATGACTATAGAAGAGAAGTTTCAGAGGAGAACATTATAAAAAGAGAGAGACGGTTGTTGTGGCCTGCACTTAATCCCAGCACTCAGGAGGTTGAGGCAGGAGGGTCAGGAGTTTGACACCAGCCTGAGCTATCTGAGACCCTGTCTCAAAACATACAAATGCGAGTTGAACTGCAGACTTTTTTTTTGAGAGCCAAGCAAATATAAATCTACAGTTCAGGAAAAGCTATAGGGCTAAAGGTTTAGATGTGAACCTTACTGGCAGTAAGGAGCAAGAAAGGCAACAAGCTGCCAAATCTTCCCATGTGAAAGCACAAAGCAAGGGGTCCAACTGTCACTGTCAACTCTCACTGCCTAGGACCACTTATTAGACCACTGGGCTAATTCCCACTGCTAGGTTCATGGCTAAGGTCACTACAACCAACGATACATTATTAGCAAGAGAAAAGTATACACCAACTTACTACAAATTTTATATGAGAGCCTTCAGAAATTAAGAATCAAAGAAACAGAAAATGTATGTATTTTCATAGACAGTTGTGCAGAGGTATAACTGGAGGGAAAAGGTAATCTAATGGTAATTATGGGGAGTGGTTAGCAAGTCCTGGATGCTCAGATTCATATTCAGATAAGGACATTCCTTTGCTATGGCAGGAGGGAGGCACCCTTCCTAAGCGCTGTTTTATGGCCTGCTTCTAGCAACAAGGGACAGGCAGAAGATGAGGGCTACCTTCCTGCTCCTACGTCCCCAAATTCCCAGGTACCGTAACCTGGAGTACTCTGCTGTTCTACTTTGTGTTCTGTTTACATCATGGCAAAAACA